ACATTTAGATTAAAATGAAATTTATGTTTCCCGATTTGTGATTCAAATTTTTTTTTTTTTTTTATGTACTATATACTATATATTCTAAAGAAACTGAATTTGATTTAGTTTTAACATTTATTCTCTTTCTTTTTTGCTCATTTAAATACTTCAGTACACATTATCTTATTAATCAAAAACAAAAGAACTTTAAATTTGTTTTCATGCTTCAAATGAAAAAAGCTTTATTACTTTTAATAATAGCATTTTGATAATGTTTTTTTATTTATTTGATCTATATATATATATATATATATATATATATATATATATATATATATATATATATATATATATATATATATATATATATATATATATATATATATATATATATATATATATATATATATATATATATATATATATATATATTATATATATATATATATATATATAAATATATATATATATATATATATATTTATATATATATATATATATATAATATATATATATATATATATATATATATATATATATATATATATATATATATATATATATATATTATATATATATATATATATAAATATATATATATATATATATATATATATATATATATATATATATATATATATATATATATATATATATATATATATATATATATATATATATATATATATATATATATATATATATATATATATATATATATATGAGGAGCAAACATTCAAACCGTGTTTTCTCCAAAAAAAATAAAAACTGAGTTATTGATGGTTTCTTGTAGTCCATGTTAAATAGCACCAGATTCAAGCTTTAGTTTCAGTCAAATCATGCTTTATCCTATTTAAAAACAGCGTGCAAAACTAACTGTTCAATCAAAGAGTGTTTTCTCCAAGGTCGGTGTTCAGTCAAACAGTGCTTTCTCCAGCTGACCAATGGGAGCGGTCCTCTATGATCACATGACTAGTTGGCATAAGCTGTTTTAACACGTGGTTCAGTACTGAAAGTAAGGTTATGGTAGGTAGTTCACTAATACTATAGCTCTACAATTTTATTAGTTTCAATCTTTCGATTTCAAATGGATGAAGTGGTTGATGGTATTTTAGTAAGTATTGGAAACACTGGAGCTCGTAAAAGACAGGCAACTGGCAAAAGAAGAAAAGAAGAAAAACAGAAGCGTTATTCATCACCTTCGTCAAAATTCAATAATTAGTTCTCTAGTTGAAACAAAAAATGTTATTCGACGAAGGCCTAATAACCCTAACCTAAACAAGTCGCATAAGTCAAGCTCTCAACATGCCTTTTCTACAAACTACTTCATTGTTGGAAATAAAACGAGAATTCCTGTTTGTAAGAATAATTTTATTGCCATTACTAAAGTAGGAAGGACAAGATTGGCCAATATTGTTTCCAAAATCCATGCTGGAGATCCTATTGAGGATAGAAGAGGAGGTGATAGGAAAAGTAGCCACAGCATTGATAAAAAGAACAAAGTGAGAGATTTCATTTCTAATTTGAAGGCATCAGAAAGTCACTATGGGAGAAAAAAATCTAGACGTTTGTATTTGAACTGTAAATTGAATATAAGAAAGCTGCACCAAATTTATTGTGACCAAATAAAGGATGATTTGTACAGAGTGAGTTTTGCCATGTTCAGGAGAGTGTTTGTTAATGAATTTAACATTGGCTTCAAATCGCCATCAAGTGATGTTTGTAGCACGTGCGCCCTTCTAGACCAGAAAATTAAAACATTGCCATCAGGATCCATGGAACGTGTAAACCTTATGACTCAGAAAAGGATTCATAAACTTAGGGCAAATGCATTTTATGCGTACATGAAAGAAAAAACCGATGAATCTGTGTGCAGTTTGTGTTCTACAGCAAATACAACAATTGCCAAAAACAAACATTCAAGATGCATATTATCTGAGGCAGTTGAATTTTTATAGTCTATGTATTACTAGTTTGGATGGCAAAACCCCAACATTTTATACATGGTCTGAAGAGCAGGCAGAAAAAGGCAGTACCGAAATTTCCTCAGCTCTACATTCTCACCTAAGAACAATGAATCTTAAAGGAATCAAGACTTTACGACTTTTTTGTGACGGATGTGTTGCCCAAAACAAGAACAATATCAACCTTCAAATGCTTTTGCACTTTCTCTACTCTTCAAATAATGCTGACATTCAAGAAATTCAACTCTACTTTCCGGTCAGAGGCCATAGTTTTCTGCCAGCAGATCGTGTGTTTGGTAGGGTTGAGAAAATCCTTAGGAAAAGTGTAACAATAATATCCAAAGAACAATATCATGAAATTTACAAGAACATTGGAGCTGTAAAAGTTATGGGTGTTGATTGGGAACTTCTAAATACCAAATCACTCAACAGTTTCTTCAAAAATCTTTCATACATATCAGAATTGAAAAGGATCTTTCTCAAGAAACACCCAGGAACAGGAGCTGTCAAGGTCAAGGGCTTCAGAAACTATAGATTTGAAGATGGAAGTGAGCAAGCTGGAGAAGGACTCCTGAAAAGAGGAATAAAAGTTTCAAACGTCAGAAATATAACTTTAGAATCTCTTCCACTAAATCGTCCCATTTCTGCCGAGAAGAAAAAAGATGTTGAGAAACTCTTGAAACTATTATATGGCGATGGATGGCAGAGTGAGCCTAATTTTGAATGGTACAGGAAAATATTATTCGATGAACAAGACGGGAATGAAGAGGAAGATGAAGTGTGTGACTGTTTGGATGAAGATATTGGAATGAGAATTTAAGTTGTTGAGTATGTATTAGTATTGTGTTTTATGTTACCATATTTTTTAATTTCTTAATTTGTGTGTTGCGTTATTTCAAAATTTTTCAAATTCTTGAATTGCACCAATAAACCCCATTGACTTTGTGTTATTCGTTTGTTGTATTACTTAAATCATTCAAAAAGTGTTTTATCCTTGTGAGACTCAATCAAAACATGTTTTCTCCTTAGTATTCTGTCAAAATGTGTTTTCTCCAAAAAATAAATGCATTTTTTTCATTTGTTTTCAAACAAATATCTAAAACAATGTATCAGAATACTCCTCAGAGCTATTAAGAACAATAGAAAACTATAACTTTGATTTATGACAGTTCTTTAAATTTTTATCAGTTTTTTGCGTTTCCTGTAAATTCTCATCTGAAGGAGAAAGCACGGTTTGAACGTTTGCTCCTCATATATATATTTATATATATATATATATATATATATATATATATATATATATATATATATATATATATATATATATATATATATATATATATATATATATATATATATATATATATATATATATATATATATATATATTATATATATGTGTGTGTGTGTGTGTGTGTGTGTGTGTGTGCCATAGTAAGCCGAGGTCAGGTCGGCAAAAAACTTATTAAAAAAATACTTCATAATAGACTAAATAAATTTGAGAAAAAATAGACTAAAAATTAGTTATTTTTTTTCCAAATTAAACTTACATATATATAATTATTTAAATTTGTAATACTCGTATTACTATCGTTTAATGTTGAAACAACGTTATAATGACGTTGGGTAAATTTATATATTAAACGCGCCAACAATAGGTCGACCTAAGTCCGATGCTTGCAAAATAAATTTTAACAACGTTTAAACGATGTCTTGCGTCGCCCCAATACGTTATACGTCCAAATAGCACAGATACGTTGGGCCAACGTATCTGTGTTATTTGGAAGTCAATTAATTAAAGAAAAATGTCATCACAAATCAAACAAAATTTAGTTATAGGGCCTATAACCTTTTAATATTTTTGCTTATATTACTAATATTTAATCGTTTGTTTTATTTCATTTGCAGTTTTTTTTATATTTTGTTTTTATTTTTATTTTCTCTGACAGTATTTGTCTTCATTTTTTAAAACAGATTACCAATTACTACATGCTTCTTTATGCACTACTACTTTGTTTATTTTTAATTTATATACCATTACTATTTGCTTCTTTAAACACAATTACATAACACAATTTCTGCTAGTTTATATATTTACCTCTCAAGGCCGACGATACGGGGGGGGGGGGGGGGGGATGGAGCACGTACCTCCCCATTTTTTTTTCTAGAGGATTTTTTTTTAAGACAGAAAATTTTTTTTAAGACAGGAATTTTTTTACAAATTGATGATTTTGCCCCCCCCCCCCCCATCACTTCAAAACCCGTGTCGTCGACCCTGCCTCTATATCGCGACTAGAACTATCTTGTTTTATCTCCACTTTCTGAAAAAATGGAGTTAATGATACTGTTGTGTTCCTCAAAATAATGTCTTTCTACTGAATAGAAATCTAAGTTATAAGTAAAAAAGTTGCGGAAAAAACATGAGTTATACAAAAATTTATACGCCGTCTTCTAAAGTTTTTATTTTTTAAATCGTTTTATCTCAAAACTAAAAAATGTGGAGATAAAACAAGATAATTCTAACGCCGCGATATAATAACCTAATTTAGAAATTAGATTGTTAATTAATGTTAAATATCTATTATTAGGTAAGTCAAAATAAATGCAATTAAATAAAAAAATAAAAACATTGAAAATTTAAAACTTAAGTTTTAAATTTTCAATTTTTTTTTTTTAATTTCTTAATCTCCATACATAAAAAAAAATAATAATAATAAAAAAAAAAAAACAGAATATAATTCTTATGCGCTTTCCAAAAAATAAAAGAATTGAAATCTAAAATGTTTCAAGTTTTAAATTTGGAGATTAGTAGTAAATTAATTACACAAGATTATTTGATATTATCTACTGTCATGTGATACATTTTTTTTTAACTTATATTAATTTTCGGATGACCTCTGTTTTTCATAATGGATTTTTTCAACTTTTATGGTAAAAATATTTATCTTTGTTTTATTATAAAACAAACATTTATTGTTTGACATATATAAACATATAAGTGAACAAATTTGTTTCGATAGTTTATTCCTAGTATAGTTTTTAAAGTAAATATTATTGTTCCTTAATATTGTTTATCTTTTTACATTTAAAGGTATAATTTTCTATCATTTATCGATAATCATTGGTTCTTTAAATGCTTTTTTTAATAAAGCTACTCTGCAGCAAATGGAATTAAATAAAAAGGATTGCAATAGCTTTGATTATTTGAAAGGTAAATTCTAATTTAAAAAGAGATTGTTTTTTTATTCTTTGTTTTAATAATTTTTACAAATTTTAGTTGAAAAACTTCCGAGAGATGTGCTCAAAACGTTTTCAAACGATTTGCCAAAGCACTGGATGAAACTTGCTCGTTTTTTGAACATAACTGATGAAGAAATAAATCGAGTTTTAAATGAATATGATACAACTCGTGAAAAAATTTATGAAGTTTTTAGTAATTGGTGTAGAAATAATCCACACAAAAAATGGCTGGACATAAAATCTGGATTGATTTATTGTGAACAAAACGATGTTCTTTTTAAATGCGAAAGAAGTGAGTGATTTTGTTTCTTAATACTTTTGTGTTTAAACTTTAATAAAAATTTGTTAAAAAAAAAATTGTGAATAAACCCGAAAGAACATTATTGTTAATACTCAATCAATTGATTGAGTATTAACAGTAATATTCTTTCGGGTTTATTCAGAATTTATTTTTTGTTACATTGACTTACAATTAGACTGACTCGCAAGGGAGTACTGCTACATCGACAGAGAGTTTGGTTTGGACAGGCAGTCTATCATTTAATAACAATAAAAAAAATTATTCACGTTTTTAAACTAATTCTGGTCTGGTTTATTAGCGCTCTTTTTAAAAAATAACTTTTAAAAAAATGAAGTAAAAAAAAATTTGAAAAGTTCAAATTTACTTAGAACTGCTACTTAAAGCCATTACTTAAAACATTATTTTACAGTATTTACTTTTATCATTTCCTATTTGATCTAATAGGAAATAATAAAAGTAAAAAAAGAAGTACTTGATCAAATAGAAAATGATAACAGAAAATACTGTAAAATAATGTTTTAATAATAACAATAAAAAAAATTATTCACGTTTTTAAACTAATTCTGGAAATGATGGCTTTAGTAGTAGTTTTAAGTAATGGCTTTAAGTAGTAGTTTTAAGTAAATTTGAATTTTTCAAATTTTTTTTTACTTTTTTTTTTCAAAACATCTTTTTTTGAATTACTTAATTAGAAGTATATATTAGATTATCAATGCTATCAATGATTATCAATAGTCTTCAGTTTTTTTTTTCAGTCACTTTTTTCAGTTTTGCAAACTCCCAAAAGATTCCAGAACTTAAAAAAAAAAAATTAATCTAATCGACCACAGATTTCATGCAATCCAACTAAAAATCGATTTAGTCGGTTTACAAACTTTTTTGATTTAACTTAGCATGATATTCGTATATAATAGTTATAGTATAACATGTGTCACTATTAGGGTATCCCAAAAAAGTATCGTATATTGTGCGGAATACTGCATTCTGCGTCATTTTGAAAATGAAGACGAACAAAAAAAAAATTAAGTCTTTAATTAACTCTAGCGGAATTAACTCTAGCGGAAGGTTATTTAGGTCAATTTCCTTTTTTTTTTATATATAAATTTTGAGATAAAGTTAATTTTATTCTTCTTCAAACAAACGCATGTTTCGACAAAAGAATGGCGAACAATAGAAATTAATGATGCGTATCTAATAACTCGAGCTAAATTATTATTAAATCACTTTTAAAAGTTGTTTTCAACAAAAATAAAACTCTTTACTTACTAAAACTCTTTACTTACCAAAACTCAGGTATTAACTTGATTTTAAAATTTAGTCTTTTTTTTTTCATTATTAGATAAAAATGTGGGATCATTTAATATTATATTTAAATAAATTCAATATTATGTTATCAAAGTTTTTTCATTAAACGATGGCAATAAAATAATAATAATAAAAAACTCGTCCAATATAATGTGCAATGCATTGTGCATCCAACTATTCTGATTTTATTTTAAATGAAAAATAGTTGATTTTAGAAAATGCCTCTAGACCAAGAGCGCGACAATCAGATAATTTATTCACTTAAAGCAGATATTCTTAACACGTCGAAGATTACAAGGAAGCGAAGACAATTTTATTTGCTTGAGTTTCCTTTGCAAAGTTTTGCCCCCAAAAGACTTCCCACAAATGGAGAAATGCTCAGAAGGTACTACTGGCTTAATCTCGACAAAAACACAAGGTAAATTAGTAACTAACCAACGTAATTAATGTTAATAACTAACTAACTAATTTTTAAAATGTTTTAGTACCACACAGATCAATGTCAAAATTGGCTGCCCAGTTGCTTCTGGTAAGACTTATTTGAGATGCTCCAGGTTTGCTGACGGAGGGTGCGGAAAGAAAACCAAGCAGTTAAATACAAATGTCTGTATTCTGAGGGAGTTTGTCACTTTGTGGGAACAAGCTGGGTTTAGCGATACTTTCACTGTGACCGAGCAAACTATAAAGATCAGAATTACCAAGAAAGTTAAAGAGTATCACACTTTAAAAATCCTTAAAACACTAGATTTGCCCGAGGGCAGCTACAACAAGAAGGTTGACAAATTTTTGAAAGAGAATAGTGCTCTTTTTTCTATTCAAAAATCAAACATATATGATTTAATTAAAATTGATAAAAATAGGGATGACGAGGCGAAGAGTGAAGACATAAAGTTTTTGAGGCATTGTCTGAGAGGGGATATGTTTAAATTTGGCAACGTTGATAAAATATTGAGTGAAAATGTTCACAGAGCACAGGAAAAACTTCTAAAAATGTCTGAAAAGATCCAAAGGCATGCGGAAAAAAATAAGAAAAAAGAAAGTAACCATTTGGAAGTAGACTTTTTAAGCACAGATAGTGAGAATCAAAGTGAATACGATGAAATTTATTTACCTCCTGCTAAAGTCCAGAAAAAACAAAAAGGTTTCAGAACGATTTAAAAGTTTGCCTTCAATTAAGTCTGGGAGACATTCTTCACAACTGGATTCCAATTATGACCAGATTTAGAATTGGAGTCAGACCAGGTATGTGTCTTTTAAATTCTCTTTACAAAGCTGGTTGTGTTGATATTGATAATATCCCTATATCAAGATCAACTCTAAACAGCCATACTATTGTGGAGTCTGAGGCACAGATGATTAGGGAGGAAAATTTAGATAAAGTAAGGGGTTTGAAAATTGTGGTACACTTTGACACAAAAATATTGAAAAGATACAATTGGGAAAAAGGAGTATGTAAAAGCGAGGATAGAATCGCCATAAGCGCATCTTCACCCGAGTCTGGTCCGCTAGACTTCCTTCTGAGCATCTTAAAAATTGAAAGTTCTAAGGGAAGTGATCAAGCTACTGCCATTCAAGCTATGCTTAAATACTATGAGATATCTGATCAGATTATTGTATTGTGTTCGGACACAACATCCAGTAACACTGGGAGAAAAAAGGGTGCTATAAGCATTATTATTTCATACGCCCTAGGTAGACCGGTTCTTTGACTAATGTGTAGACATCACATCTATGAAAGACATGTGGCTCATGTAATGAAGGAAATATTTGGTCCAACCAATGGTCCCAGCAGGAAACTATATGTTACTCTCCAAAAAATATGGCCGCAGATTTACAGAGATGTAAACAAATTAGAGAGAATTGTGAAATTTGACTGGACTCAAGATGCCTTTAGACCTAACTCTTTGTTGTACAAATTTGCTTCGGATACAAAAGAATTCTGTATCACAGCTCTTTGTGAGAGTACTTTCCAGAGAGGAGATTACAGGTATCTTTGTGAGCTTCTGGCATTTTTTCTAGGAGCTGAGTTACCAAACTTCTCATTTAAACAACCGGGAGCTCATCATGAAGCAAGATTTATGGCAGACTGCATCTACTTGCTGGTGATTCAAATGACTCAAATGTACTACCCAGTTGATTCTAAATCTGGTAATATAAGAACGTTAAGTAATCTGAAGGCTGCAACCAACTACATTGTATTTTTCACGGCTTTTTTCTGAAATGCGCAATGGCTTTTCAAGCACCATCAAATGATTTGATGGCATTCAATATTACTTTTTAGCTGCAAACAATGGACGAGTTTAAAGAATTTGCAGTTGTGGGAAAGGTTCTTTACCAAAGCCTTAGCCGTCACACTTGGTACCTGTCCCCCCAACAAGTAGTTTTTGTTCTTGCTGATAAGGAACTGAAAGTTGAAGTTAAGAACAATATGTTAAATAAGCTGCTTTCCTATGATGTCCCGGTGTTGCAAGATCTGATTAAAAAGAAACCTGAATCTATTATTGAAATTGTTCCTACGTCTAAACTAGATGATTTTATCAATGAACAGTCCTTTTGTTTTTGCTGTTGGATATTTCCAAAAAAGAACTTCTCCTCTGGAAAGAACTTCTCCTCTGGAAAGAAAAAGAACTTCTCCTCTGGAAAGAAAAAGAACTTCTCCTCTGGAAAGAAAAAGAACTTCTCCTCTGGAAAGAACTTCTCCTCTGGAAAGAAAAAGAACTTCTCCTCTGGAAAGAACTTCTCCTCTGGAAAGAAAAAGAACTTCTCCTCTGGAAAGAAAAAGAACTTCTCCTCTGGAAAGAAAAAGAACTTCTCCTCTGGAAAGAAAAAGGCATCAAAGCATGTGAAAGTGAGAAAACCTCTCAGTCTTTTACATACTTCTCAAAGTGCGTAAGAACACTTGCAGTTGTAAATGACCGTGCCAGAACATCACATCAAGTTGATTCAAGATTTTGTTGAGAGAACACACAATGAAGATAGGCTTCAGGATACTCTCCAGGTATTTTATTATATACACGCAATATAATTGGCACTTATTAGCAAGTATAATATGAATAGTTAATATATAATATTTACTTAATATATTTATATTTTTAGGTTGTCCAGAGAAACCGGCAGCAGATATCGAAAAAGGCTACAAAGAAAGATCTTAATACTATTATTTAGTTGAGTAATATTTTGTAGTTAAAAATATAGGTTTATATTTGTATTATTATTAATTTTTATTTCTTTTGAAATTAAATGATAAACCTAATCTCCGAATTATTTTTTTTACTTTTCACACTAAAATATTGCTTCAAGGTCAAAACATAGACGTTTTTACTATAATTCGCAAAAATGATGCTAAATGTATCGTTTTATCCCATTTAAAAGTGAACTGATCTCTAAACTCAATAAATTATTTTACAATGAAATTAAAAAATTTCATAGCACGCAAATTCACCTGTTTGACACGCACCAACAATTTTCTTTTGTTTTAAGTAACAATTGCTATTTTTGTATTAAGATAACATTCAGTTTTATCTCAAAATTTGTATATTAAAAAAAAAAGCAAGTGACCTAAATTTTTTTTTTTTTATTTGTATTTACTCCCAACAAGGCTGCAAGCAACCACTATCAAGTTGGGAACTACTAGGAAAAAAAAGAACAGAGTTATAGAGCAAGGAAACGGTTGACAGAAGACTTGA